TTCCTGTCTCTCTTCCTTCTTCCCTTCCTTCTCTCCTTTCCTATTCCATTTTATCCTTCTTTTTTCTCCATCTATCTTCTTCTCCCTCCTTTAATCAATCCTGTTTTTCTACTTCCCTCTCTGTCACCCTTTCGATTTCCTTTCCTTTTTCTCTTTTCTTCTCTCCCTTTCTCTCTCCCTTCTTTTCTCATTTCCCCCTTCCTCTTCCTCCTTCCAGCAGGAAAAATCAGCCCAGGGACTGAGGCTTTGTTTGGAATGAGAGTTGTGGTCCAGATTCTGAGCATCAGCAGATTTGAGGATGAGGGTAGGAATGGGGAGAAGGATGTTAAAGGTAGACAGGGCAATGCCTCCCACTTCATGTCTGGAGAAAGCAGATCCTCACATCTGGAAAAGAACAGTTAATCCCGCCAGGTTTCACAGTATCTCTGGAGCCAGGCTTAGCTGGGGTGGACATTTGATCCTCAGAGGTGAGTCTGGGATGCAGACTGGTTAACTGTACCACAAGGCCCTATTACAAGGGTTTTCTGTGAACCAACAATTCTGGTACGCTCTCACTAGAATCTTGTTTTCTATAACACCCAACTAATCTATAAAATGGGTGTTGTCCTTGTTGCCCTCTCCCACATCATCAGTTCTATGAAGATGTGTGTGTGTGTGTGTGTGTGTGTTTGGTGGGGGAGGGGGAATTTCTGTATTTTCCACTTGAGTTCTAATTACATGTCTGTAAAATGAAGGGGTTAGACTAGATGTTCTCTAAGACTCTTCTGATTCATCCTCTTGGTACTTAGCTTTTCACCTAGTCCACGGCCTCTACAGAGCCTCAGATTTCCTGGACCTTAGTCTCATTGTCCATTATTTCTTTATATAACATGGTATGATGGAGAGACTACTGACCATGAATCAGGAGTCCTGGGTTCTAGTCCTGCTCTGTGACCTTAGACAGGCCACTTTCGGTTTCCCAGACTGTAAAATGACAGAGTTGGATTCAATGGCATCTCTGGTCTCTTTTCAACCCTAACATTTTGTGTTTCTAGGATTCCTACTTCCTCCAATCCACGGTAAGAGCAGAGTGGGGAACACAATGGCCACTGATGAAACTCACTTTACTTACTGGGGGAAAGGAGAAGAATTTTGTCTGGAAACAAGGAGAAAGAGTCTCAGTGTCTTGACTCCCCACTTCCTGGCCTATTCCCACTGGCAACTGCTCCCTTTGGCCCCCTTCCATCCTGTACCCATGACTAATTCTACTGCCTTGCCTCTCTGAACCTCATCAAAATATAGATAATACTACTTAGATTGTCTAGGGCTGTGGTGAGGAAAGTGTTTTGGGAACCTCAAAGTGCTCCTGAAAGTTATCACCAAGGCTGCTTCCCCGTCCACACAATCTCCATCTGAGTCAGAGGGGGCCATTTCCAGTCATCCTGATCTATATCTGGCCACTGGACCCAGATGAGGAGAGAGTGAGGCTGGTGACCTTGCACAGCCCTCCCTCACTGTAACATAATTCACTCACAAATCATGGCATCATCTTCCTGATGTCACGGTCCTCTTTGAGAATGAAGGACAAACCACAACACAACCAGAGTTAGATGTGACATTCCATCCCCAGCATCCAAATCAAGGGGTCTCCAGGACTTCCCATCCTTCTCTTCCTCTATCTCATAAAATGGACCAGGTTACTTGGTCCAACCTATACATGAACAGAGATCCCTTCTACAACATCCTCAAAAAGTGGACACTCAGCCTCTCCTCAGATATCTCCAGAGAGCGGGAACTCATTGCCTGTTGAGACAGTCTGTATCTTGGAACAGTTCTGATTGTTAGCAAGTCTGGGAGCATAGTGAGCCCAAATTTGCCTCTCTGTAACTTCTGCCCATCATTCTGAGTTCTGACCTCTGGGGCTAAGAGGAACAAGGCTAATCTTCTGTATGACTGCTCTTCAAATACTTGGGGGGCAGTTGTCATGACCCTACTAAGTCTTTTCTTCAGCCTAAATGTTACCAGTTCCTTCAACACATCCTCTCATAATCCAGTTCCCTAATGCTTTGCTTTCTCTGCTCCCACTACTGACTCTGCCTCATGTCCATAGCTCTATCCACCGCACCACTTAGCTGTCTCTCTGCCCCTACAGGAGATCATTTATGTAAATGATTAGCAAACCCTGAAGTGCTAAGTAAAGGTCAGCTGTTATGAAGATGAGTGATGAGCATTGGTTGATTGATAAGGTGACCCTTCCAAACTAGAAATGATCAGAGGTTCTTAATTTGGAGTCATTTATTAGAAGAAACACACCCATCTTTTTCATAACATGCAAAGGTAGAAACACTCCCCAAATATCTGAAGTTTACATTTCTATCCAGGCCAGGCCCAGCTTCTGAAATGGCAAACCAGAGTGTAAAATGTGATTTGAGATGGGAAATTGCTCCCCAGGGATTTCCCATGGTAGTCACAGGAGCCAAATAGTCACCAAAAAGTCTGACTGGCTCCGTGTTTTCCTATCTTGGGAGGTCCTGGGAGGGTTCTACCAGTTTCGGAGAGGAAGTGGGAGGGGGAGGGGTGGAAGAGGGATTTCAGCACCGAATCTTGGATTTGGAAGAACCTTCCATGGGCACCTAGGCCAGCCCACAAGAATCCTCTCAACCAATTCCATAAGTGATCAAGCAGTCTTCACCTGAAGCCCTCCAGTGAAGGGGAACTCATTATTTCCCAAGGCAGTCTAGTCTACCTTCAGATAGTTCAGATTGTTGGGGAGTTTTGCTTCATATCAAGCAGTCATGAACACTGGCTGTGTGTGAAGAGTGAGATGCAGCTCTGAGCTGTCAGAGACTATGGGGGAGGAGTTCCTTTGTATTCCAAGGTACCTTGGATGTCTTAGAAAGGTTCTAGAGAAACTTCTAAGAATCCCTTAGAGCCTATTTTTGGGGGTGGGGGTGGGCCTAGGAGACAATGAGGAGAAAGGGTAAGGACTTGGTCCCATTTTAGTTTCCCAAACCCTCCAGTTAGCTCCCTTGTCCCAGGTTTGGCCCATACTACATCCCCAATAAGACCCAGACCTACCATAGATTCATTGGTCCCTGGAAAATGTCAAAGGCTAACCTCAATCAATTTACTTCTCCTGCGATCCAGACAGGATTTGAATCCACAGTTCCCTTGAGGACAGAGGGGAAACCAGTCTGATTTGCTGCACTGAAATGATGCTTAACATGTCACTATCACAACATACGTGTACATTGAGTTCTACAAGAGTCATGGACAGAAATATTTCTTTCTTGTGTAATCTTGGAGGGCAGGGGGATGCAGCCTTTGCTTGAGGAGATTGTGAAACGTGGGAATAGTCTTTATTTTCTCCCTGGACCTACTCAGTCACCCGCCGCTGACTGAATGATGGGGGAGGAATTTATTAAAGAGCGAAGTGATAACATTTGGCTTTTTCCTGAAAGGGGGCCAAGCCAAGAATACTCTAGACTTCTTGGGACAAAGATGGCCATGGGGGCTGGAGACTGAGCTGGAGAGGGAGGCGGGAGCCCTCATCCCCTGCAAGGAAGATGAATGCCAAACCAAACATCACCAGGGCCTGAGTCCCAGACAGCTGGGCTGGGATCCCAGGGGTTAGGAGGTACCTTGTGGAGATGGAGAAAGTATCTCAAGAAGTCTTTGGATAAAGCTCTAAGAATCAGATTGTTGTTGTCATTCAGTTGGGTCCAATCTTCATGACCCCAAGCACCATACTGTCCACGAAGTTTTCTTGGCAAAGATACTGAAGTGGTTTGCCAATTCCTCCTTCAATGGATTAATGCAAACAGAGGCTAAGAGATGTGCCCAGGATCACACAGCTAGTAAGTGTCTGAGGCCAGATTTGAACTCAGGTCATCCTGATTCCAGGTCTAGTGCTCTATCTACTGAGCCACCTAACTGCCTCTAAGAATGAAACAGAGCTTAAGTGAAGAAGCTTGGGACCATTTAGAAGCATTGACCAGCAGTGGGGCTTTCTGGAATAGAACCCGGATAAAATCTTTAGATGTGAGCTCAGTTCTGGGTACTCTCCAATGAGTCATGCACGGCACTCTCTCACTTTCTGGATATTTAGTTAAGTCTGCATTTGGAGATGGCATGTATTTCTCTTTTATCCTTGATAATAAAGAAGCCCCACTAGAATTAGTTTGGGGCTGGGTCTCAGAAGGAAAAGAGGTGACCCCAGAGAGGGGAGTATCTTAGAAACTTCCTTCAAGGCTCAACTCAGGTGCCATCTCCCAAGGGAAACCTTTTCTAACCTTTCTCTCTCCCTATTCTGATCCTCTTGTACTTATCTGTGTAAATTGTATAATTGCCTCAATAGAATATAATCTCTTTGAGAGCAGGAACTGTTTTTTAACTTTGGACCCCTAGAACACAACACTGACTGTCTCTTAGTAGGTGTCTAATAAATCCTTGTTGAATGAATGAATCAATGAAAGAATGAGATGGAAGAATATAGGGAAATGAGTTTTGAAGATTACGGATTTTTGTCTGTAGTAATGGTCCCATGGAAGAGGAAATGGGATGGACCCCAGGAGTAAGATTAATTTCCCTTGGCATCTGGGACTTGGAGATGGGATTCCTCTGTGTGCATGTGTGCATGTGTGTGTGTATGTGTCTATGAATGTAGGTATGTATATATGTGTATGTATATACATGTGTGTATACATACATACACACACGCATACATATTCGTTCTAGGAAGCTGAGGATGCTGACATTTGCCAGGGGTCACAGCAAATTAACAACGAACAAAAGCTGACGGATGATGTACCATCAGCATTCAGGAGCTGTTCTCTGTACAATCTCTCTAGGTGGGAGGAGTTATGCATTCCTCCCGGGAGGGACTTCAAAGCAGTGACTTTGGGAAGAATCCAGGAGGAAGGAGTGAGAGGAAAGAGGGAAAATGTCAGTGAGGCTCCTGCCAGGGACCTCCCTGGACAGAGACACAAACGGGCGGTTCCCTCTTTCCCTCTGCAGTTCCATCAGGGGTTGGGAGGGCTGGGCTGGTTCCCATTGGCCAGAGGGCCGGCCAGAGTTTTCTTCCGGAAGGCCAGGAGAGATGGATTGCGGGTAAGGGTATAAGCCAATCCCCAGCGGACTCGACTTTGTTTAGATTTGGTGGTATTCCTGGCTGGGTTCTTGGTCTGCAGCAAATGGATCCCTGAAGGAGACAGATCGCCACAACACAGTGAACGATGTTGACTCCCCCTAATTCCAGCCCTTCCATGGCCCCTGCCTCCCTTACACACCCACCTCTCATTTCTCCCAAAGCTTCCGGAGACTAGGGATAGAGAGAGCCCAAGACAGGAACATCCTTGCTGAAAGCAGGAGGGATTGACTCATGGACAGCTTAGACACTTCTTGTCCCTTATGAAGTCCCATAACATAGAGCTCAGATGAATTTCCAGTGTGTGCCTTTGGGATCTGTGCCAGTAAGGACTCACACAGAACATTTTATTCTTTAGGTGAACTGAAATATGGAAGAGGAGAGGGTCTCCCTCCCCGCTGTCAGGGTTCACCATCGGGAACCCTAGCTAAGCAGCCAGGGCCAGAGTAAGAAGGGGAGAAACCTGCAGCCACAGACAGACGTCCACAGTATCCTTCCAAACCAGTGCTCAGCGGCCAGTGAGACAACCCAGAAGGACGGAGGCCAAGGAGGAAGCCTTGGAACAGAGGGAGGCAGGAAGCAGCAGGGAAACTCTCACCCTCCTCCCAGGCTGGGGACAGAGAAGCCAGCAGGCTGAAGCATCTCACCTTCTTCTACATCACTTGGTCTGAGAACAGCTTGGGCTCCAGCCAATCCCCGAGAGCCAGGTGATTGCAGGAGCAGGAAACAAAAGGCTTTCATTGCCGGATGTGACTGGCTGACCTCCATCTTCAAGTAATAGCAGTAAGTGCGATAGCCTGAGAGAGGGATGAAAAGCCTGGCTAGGGAGCTTGTACACACATGGGCTGGCTCGCACACAAACACCTTGTGCTTGCATCTAGGCGGGTTCCACATGTCCAGCATCCCTAGTCCGGGCCCCTTTAGCCTTTCACCTGGGTCTACTGGAGTAGCCTTCTAGATGGTCTTTCTATCTCCTATATGTCCCTTTGCCAATCCATTCCCCATAGAGCTGCTGAAATAATTCTCCCAAGGCACAGTTTGACCATGTCGCACTTCTGCTCTGAAAACTTCACTGGCGGGGCAGCTAGGTGACACAGTGTTCAGAGCTCCGCCTTGGAGTCAGGAGGACCTGAGTTCACATCTGGTCTCAGCCACTTGACACTTACTAGCTGTGTGACCCTGGGCAAGTCACTTAATCCCATTGCCTAGCCAAAACAAACAAACAAAAAAACAACTTCATTGGCTAAAACCCAAACTTTGGAATTGAAAGCTTTTATAGTTGGGCCCCAGGCTACCTTTCTAGCATTGGTTCCCTTTCACCCAGGCAGCCTGGATAACCAGGTATTATCTGAACCTGGAATTCCACCTCCCTTCTTAGTGCCTTCCCCTAGGTCACCATCCACCCTTGCCTATCCAAGCCTTCCTCACTTCTGGCTCTCTCAGAATACTTCTCTTCCTTTCAAGGTCAGCTCCTGAGTCACCTAGTTCATGAGCTCCTCCATCCCCCCACATGCTAATGGCCCTCTTCCTCCTCAGATCACCTGGTATTGACTTAACTGTACCACCCAACAGAAGGTAACTTCCTTGAGGGAAGGGATTTTCTTTTTTTGGAAAAGATTTTTTTTAATCCTTCCTCTGATCCCTGCCCTGCCCCCAGTCCCCTTAGAATAAGGCCTTGACCATGAAAGATGCTCATGATGATGACAGAATTACAACTGAAAGGAACCTTGAAGATCCTCTACTCCAGTCCCCTTAAAGTACAAATGAGGAAATAGAGGCCCAGGGAGATAAAGTGCATTGAGCAAGATCCCACAGCAACAGAACTGGGATTTGACCCCATTAAACCACACTTACTGCTGGTTAAATTGGATTGAATTCAATTGAATATACGTACTCTGAGTGCCTAATAATAACCACAATAGCTAGCATTTATATAGTGCCCTCAGGTTTACAAAGTACTTAATGAATATGATCCCATTTTACCCTCACAAAAACTGTACAAGGTAGGTGCTGTTATTATGCCCATCTTACAGATGAGGAAACTGAGGCAGATCAAGTAACTTGCCCAAGATCACCCAATTAGTAAGTGCCTGCAGAGCAGCTAGGTGGCACAGTGGATAGAGCACTGGCCCTGGAGTCAGGAGGAACTGAGTTCAAATCCAGCCTCAGACCAAACACTTGACACTTACTAGCTGTGTGACCATGGGCAAGTCACTTAACCCCAATTGCCTGAAAAAGAAAAGAAAAAGTAAATGCCTGAAGTGGGATTTGAACTCAGGTCTTCCTGGCACCGACTCCAGTGCTCTGGTCACTGTCACACACACACACACACACAAACAATCACCAACAGTATTGCCTCACCCTCAGTGTGCACACATGAAGCATGCACACAGGCTCCTTTCACATGTAGTGTGAGTAACTCTATATAGTATATATATGCACAGACAGGATGCCTTCTCTGCAGCCCACTTACACAGGCTAATTCTTTCACAAACGGCATGGAATAGTAAACAGAGGACTTACTTGGAGTCAGAAGACCTGGATTCCAATCCTGCCTTACACAGCAGCTAGCTGTGTGATGCTAGGCAAGTCGCTTAACCTCTGTATGACTCAGTTTCCTCCTTTGTAAATTTTGGTGCTTGGGTGTAATGGTCACTAAGGTTCTTTTAGAAATTTATGATCCTATGAGCCACACAAAATGTGTGCGCTCAGACAAGCCATCTCACGGACAAGGGGTACACATTTCCCATCCCACACATGGAACGCACACAGACATACAAGCTCACTAGGCTTTCAGGCTGTCCATGCAGGAGAAAACAATTGCAGAAAGGGAAGGGATTTATTTAAAACTGCACTCGGCTCAGTGGGAGGTTCAGGTCTCTTCCTTTCCCTCCACCCCATCCAACCTCTCTGCCAGGCTCAGTGCCCCTCCCCCACTTTGGTAGCCAGTGGTCTCAGATTCATCCCCATGGCTGCCCTTACCTGGGTCCAAAGTGTCCACACCATGCCAGAGCAAGCTGAGGTCCATCTGGCAGAAGTGGATGACGTTGAAGAGGGTGGAGATCACCATCCGGCAAATGCCCACTATGATGCCCACCAGCACATTAATGGGGAAGAGCAGGAAAGTGATGGCATATAAAGCTTTCCTAATAGGGAGGGGACACAGGAGAAAAGCTGAAGAAAGGGCCTGCCTCCCTTCCCTCGGGAAAGCAAAATGGCAGCCACAGAGAAGTGTGTATGCACATCCTATGCCGGCCTCCACCCCTGGGGCCCTAGAATGCTCCAACTGACCCTGTCACAAAAAAAGTATTTAACAACTCCACCCTCACTGGGGTGGGAGATGAGCCACTCTCTCCCATTGTAATCAAGGAGCTGAGAGGGAACAATGCCGAACCCAAAATGAAGCTCATGGGGACATTTCAGGCACCAAGAATGACAACTGGAGAAGATATTCCTGAATAAGGGGTACTGTCTTTCCATTCTATCATGGAAGCAGGCACCAATTCTAGATACAAATAAGGATCCTCCTGTCCGAGCCCTGGGCTTTCTGAGAGAGCAAAGAATGGGAATGGGAGAGAGAATAAAGCTTGGAACGGGAGTCAGGAGACCCATTCCCTCCTCATGTAACCCTGTTCACACAAGGTCTACATCAAGGCCAAGCTGCTCAGCCACTTAACTTCTCTGGCCTCAGTTTCCTTATCTGTAAAATCAAAATAATTATACCTCCCCTAGGAACTTCTGTGGGCAAACCACTATAGTCCTAAAACCTTAGGACTACAAGGGTCCTTAGGGATCGTCTAGCTGAACCCTCCTATTTTCCAGATGTGGCAACTGAGGCCCAGAAAAGAGAAATGCCTTGCATAAGATCTCTCAGTAAGTTGGTGACAGGACTAGCACAAGAATCCAAGTCTTTCAACTCCTTCTTCAGTCTACTTTTCCCTACCCACTCAATAATAGAGATGAAAGCACACGATAAAACTCTAGAGTGCTATGCAAATATAAGAAATAATAATAATTTTTATTATCCAAAAAATGAAAAAGAAAGGAAAGGCAAAGAAAAAATGAGAGAGAGATGGAGGAAAGGAAAATTAAAAGGCGAGGCAGAGGGAACAAGGGAGAGAAGGATAGAGAAAGAGGAAAAGAAGGAGGGATAAAAAGGAAGGGACAGATAAAAATGGGATAAGGAAAGAAGAAGGAAAGAGAATGGGATAAGGAAAGAAGGAGAAACTGAGGGAGGGGAAGGACAGAGAGAGGGAAGGACACAGAGAAAGGGATGGAGAAAGGACAGATAGCTTTGCTTTGTCTGATACCATTTTTGTCTTTTTTTTTTTCTATTCACCTGATACATAATAAATTTTGTTCCAGTCTCTCTTTTTCTTTCTGTAAAGGTCTATTTTTCAGATGTTTCTTGTCGATAAAGATTGTTGAAATAGACAAAGGGAGAGGAAGGTGAGCACAGAGGAACAGAGAGGGGGGCAAAGATAAAGGGAGAAGGAACAGACTGAAGGAGGGAGAGACGTAGAGACAGAGGAGTTCATGAGGGAGGGACAGGGAGAGAGAGAGAGTCAGAGGAGAAAGGACAGATAAATCAAGAAAGGCACAGAGAGGCACGGGAGGCAGGTCATGACGAGCCACACTCAGGGCTCCTGGTAGGTGCAGCAGAAAAGAAAAAGGCAGGAGAGAGGAAGGGGGAGACAGGGATAGTGAGAGAGAGAAGTGCGGCCTCCTCACCTGTTAGTCAGCTCTTGCTGGCCATGGTGATGCTCTAGGAAGGCCCAGTGAGCAGCAAGGTTCTGCAGGATCACAGCCAGCACCAGCGTGAGCCAGAAGGGCCTGTGTGGAAAGGAGCCACAGTGATAAAGCCAGGGCTGGGGCAGGCCAATGGAAAGGTGCCATGCGGGGCCATCTTGGGGCCAAGCCAAGGAGCTGCAAAAGACCTGGCTTCCCCAGGGTCCCCAGCCCAGCCCAGTCTGGTCTGCTCACTCACCACATGCTCTCCAGCATCCAGAAGAGCAGGAGGTTCCTGCCGTACAGGATGGGTATGATGACCAGAAAGGTGAAAACCACGAACCCAAGGAAGAAGATGACCTGCTGAAGGAAGAGCCCTGAAGGGGGCAAAAGAGGCAGAGTCAGCTGTGCTGGGACCACCGAGGCATAGGAGGACGGTCATGCCAAGCCACGCTCAGGGCTCCTGGTAGGTGCAGCAGAAAGGAAAAAGGCAGGAGTAAGCCCAGCCCTGTCCCCACATCTGCCACCGCCTCGCTGGGCAAGCTGGGTCCTCTCTCTGGGCCTTGGTTTTCTCATCAGGAGAGCCCTCCCTGTCTACCCTCCTCCCAGTGTTCCCTCTCTGCCTCTTCAGGCTACCCAAAGCAGCAGCAGGCACCTCTAGGGGTAGTAGTCACCTCCATAGAGGCAAAGAGCGTGAGAGCACTTTAAGCATTTTAAACTCCACACACACATGCAGGGTGGTGACATGTTCTGGTAGCTGCCTTCCTAAACTTCTTCAAACTTCCCCGCAAAGGTGTTACTTTTTCATACATATAATTGTATTGTATTATTATATATTTATATATTATTGATATATTAATATATTAATTTATTTAAAATGAGATCCTTTAAAAAGGTGAGTATGCATTACACATACAAATATATTTAAAATGAGATCTCTTTAAAATGTGAGATATTATATGTATATGTAAATGTAAATGTATTTAAATGTATTTAAAATGAGATTTTTAAAAGTGTCATAAATATATAATATATATAATATGTATAATATATAAATATATATTTTTAAAATATATAATTTTTGAATGAGATCCCTTAAAAGATATAAAATACTAACATATTTTACATTAGAGTCCTTTAAAAAGTACACATATTTGTATATATTTTAAATGAGATACCGTTAAAAGAAGTGTTTTTCTCTCTCTGTCTCTATGTATATGTACACACATAGAGGATTGCTCAAGCACTCGCTTCTGGGAGAATCATGATGAATCGGGCGTAAGAGAAGTGCCTTGGAGAGACAGGAGCATGCGTAGACATCCTGTAACTGGCATGGGCTGGGTGACTACGTGGTTGAGAGGACCTTTTTTCTAATTGGCTGTGGGGCTGGAACTTAGAACTGTCCTGCTAGTCTCAGCTGCCACCTCCTTTGCCTCACTTGCTCCTGGGGAATCTGGGTGACTCTTTCACCTACGGCAGGGAGTGAGAGAGTCTTGGGATCTTTTCCCCAATGCTACACATGGACCCGAAAAGGAGGCTTTGGTCCTTGGCCTTTTCCTTTGTTTCTCTTGTTCTAAACGAAGGGAGTGGAGTGGCACAATTCAGTGAGTTGGAAAGTTCATATTGAGTGCACTCAAGTACCCCGGAGCGTGGGTTCCAGGATGAGTGTTACAGCCAACCCACTAATGAGTCCCCAAGGAACAAAAGTCTTTTCCCTAGGCCAACAGAAGCTGAGATGAGGATTCATCAGGAAGTCATGACACATCTGGAATGAACTTAGTGGGATCCATGCTATATAGGAACTGAGCTAAGTTTCAAAATTAATCCCCCAGATGTGAAGTAATACATGACCTGGAGGTGTTGGAGGAAATGCTTCTATGTTTGTTCTTTCTATATCTTTGGAGTAAATATCATTTTGCAAAAAGCTAATTGATTTTAAGTGGTTAAATGGGGGGAAGGAAAGGGAATAAGCATTTATATAGTCCCTACTATGGGTCAGGCATGGTGCTAAGTGCTGTAAAAATATTATCTTCTTGGATTCTCATAACAATCTTTCAAGGTAGGTGCTATTGTTATTCCCATTCTACAGCCAAGTTAACTGAGGCAGGCAGAAGGGAAGTGACTTGCCCAAGGTCACAAAGCCAGTAAGTGTCTGAGGCTAAATTTGAGTGCAGATCTTCCTGCTCTATACACTGTACCACCTAGCTGCCATGGAGCTGGGACACCAGTGACTGGTCTCTAGCAAAGCCAGTGGGGACTTGAGCCAAAGTTGGTAGAGAAAACAGATATCCCCTCGCCTATAACCCTGAGGGGTGAGGGGGAGGCAGGGGATGTAGCCTGCCAGGCCTTGGGAAAGGAGCCAAAACATACTTGCTGCAGGTATAAGAACATACACGTATTGTTTAAAGGGCTCTCATTTTAAGAATGTATATTCATATATAATCCATATGGTTCTATATGTATAAATGCATATGCCTATGTCCATGTATTTTGGTCTGGACCAGTAATTTGCTTGGTATATGAAGCACTTAGTGAGGAACATTATCCATAAATACAGGTTCATATCTTTTCTGCAAAATATAGAATTGCCTGGAGTACCCAAAGGTTAAGTGACTTTCCTAGGCCCATATAGCCAGTATACGTCATTACCACTATTGGCACTCTGAGTGCCACCATTGGTACTCTGAGTTCCATTGCAGGCAGCCCTCGGGCTTCATACAAGCTAAACTTAGGGCTCAGGGAGGGGGATAGTGGCTGGACCCACATGGTAAATATTCCTCTCCCTTGGACTTGTCACATGGTGTTTTCCATCCACCAAGTCCTAGTATCAGATGGGCCCCTTCTAAGACAATGCATACCTGTGAAGATCCTCCATCTCCTCCCTGGCAACCACCATCCCTCTTGCCTGAAATTCCTTCTCCCTCCCTTGCACCCAGCTTGCCCTGAAGCTCTGCTCCCTCCTCCTTCAGGAAGCCTGCCATGATCAATCTCACCTACACGGAGTCCTCTCTCCTTTGGCATTTGGTAGCCCTGTTACCTTTATTTCTTATTTGGCACTTAGCCCACACTGCCTTGTAGGGTAAGTTTTCTAATTATCCGTGTAAGATTCAAAGGACAGGGAACATCTTCACACCCGCAGTGGAGTTTAGCACTGAGCTAGGCACAGGATGGGGAGAGGGAAAGTGAAAAGGCTAGTGGATAGGGCCTCTAATGAACCTCTCTCCCTTCTTCCTCTTCTAGGAAAAGAACGTGGTGATGATTGAAGGCTTGAAGGCTAGGGAGGAAGGGGGAGGCTCACCGAGGCAGACGAAGGCCGTTTGATAACCCGAAAAGCTCATCCAGCAGAAGATGGCCGTGGCATTCACACCCTGCCTCTGTGGCTTGGGGCCTCCATCCAGAGCTACACCACAATGCCGAGCCCTCAGGTTAGCTCTGTTGGGGTGAGAGATTGGGGACTTGGTCGGGGGGAGGCAGGGAAAGGCGGGCAAGAGAGGGCCTCAGCCCACCCACTCTTTGACCGACCAGTAAGAAGAGAGGACTTCTGGGTATTAATTCTGGGTCCTGCCCACCGCCTCCGCTGAGCTCCCAGATACCCCCTTACCCTGCCCCCAGGAAGCCACCCTCCTGGGATCCCCAAAGAAGCAGTGGTGGCCTCTATGAATAATAATCAGTTATATTCAAATAGCGCTTTGCTCTGTACAATTGTTTTTCTCCCAGTAGTATTGTGAGGGAGGCAGCGGTGGCAGCAATATCAGGCATTTGTATGGTGCTTTGAAGTTTGCAAAGTGCTTTACAGATGACAAGCTGGGTCAACAAGCAATCATTAAGCACCTACTATTTGTCAAGCATTGAGCTAAGGTATAGGGATATAAAGAAAGGCAGAAACAATCCCTACCCTCAAGGAGCCCACAATCCCATGAGGGACACAATGTGCAAACAACAATGTTTGCAAGACACGTGCAGGAAAAATTGGAAATAATCCCAGGGGAAGGTGCTAGCATTAAGGCGGATCAGGAAAGGCTTCCTGTAGAAAATAGGACTTTAGATGAGAACTGAAGGAGGGAAGGAAGCTGGGAGGAGGAGATGAGGATGGAGAGGATTCCAGGCATGGGAGAGGGGGAGATAAGGAAGAGTCAAGACAAGGAGGACCAGGGAGGGGGCTGATGTCCCTGGATTCCGGAGCATTCCGGAGGTATTAAAACACTCGAAGTCTAGCAAGGACCCAGGTAGTCAAGGGTGCTGAATGCCACACAGAATTTTATTTGCTCCTGGAAGTGATAGGGTGCCACTGGGGTTTATTGAATAGGGGGTGGTGACATGGTCAGACTTGTGCTTTAGGAAGGTCCATTTGATATCTGTGTGGAAGGCGGAGGAGGCAAGGAGGCAGGGAGACCAACCTGTACCAAACGTCCAGGAATGAGGCTGAGGCGATGAGGGCCTTCTGTTTTTATCCAATCCCCACAACAAAACTGAGGCAGGCACAATTATCATCCCCATTTCACAGATGGAGAAACTGAGGCAAACAGAGGTTAAGTGACGTGCCCAGAGAGTGTCTCAGGTAGAGTTCAATTTCAGGCCTTCCTGACTCTAGTCCCAGTGGTCTATGGACTAGCTGCCCTTAAAAGTTATGATTACTCTCACTTACAGATATGGACATTGAGGTGAGCTATACTGGGCTAGTTAGTAGCAGAACTGAGACTTGAACCCAAGGCTTCTGACTCTAAGCCTAGTGTTCTTCCCACTGTAGCACACTTCCCCTTCATAAATGGGAAAGATCTGAGCAAAGTTGTTTCCAGTAATTTTAGTACCCTCAAATAAACTCTTAAAAGACAATTCGATTAAGTGGGGAAGGAGAAAAATCTTTGCAGGGAGACCTCGGGACACAAAGGCCCCTGGTTGGAGACCTCAGCTACCCCCGGAGGAAAGAAAGGGAAGGGGCAGGCCAGAGAGGAGCTCCCCTGGGTCATCCCTTCCAGGGGAGGAAACCCTCCATCCTACCTGTCTATTTTAACCAATTATTCCAGTAAACTACAACTGAATTCAGGTGTTTCTACCTTCTGAAGGAGCACAGATAATGTCAGGGCCCTCAAAGTTTCAGCACCTTAGAAATAAGGTCCTAATTGCCTCTTCCTGATTACACCTCGGGCTCTCGGACAGAAGTCAGAGGGTCTAGGCCAAGGAGGAGGAAGAAAATCAGATCGAATCCTATGGGTCATTAATTCTAAGAGGCTAACCAGAACTGGCATGTTTTCTGTAGCTCCAACGAAGTCTTCTGCCTCAGTCTTCACCCCGTAATCCATCCTGTGCATGTAGACACAGTAACCTTCCTAATACATACTTAGCTGCCACTCTTCTCTAAAGTCCAAATCAAGTCTCAGTTATTTTGTCTGACATTCAAGGCCCTCTACAATCTGGCCTTGATCTACCTCTCCAACCTCCCCTCCCTCTACGCCTGCACTCTTCATTCCAGCCAGATTGATATCCTCACTGTAGAGTAATAATTACCAGTAGTGGCACCTGGGGCAAGCAACAAAACCTACCATTAAATATAATATAAATATAATATAATATATTCTATTTAATAATATAAGTATGATATAAATAAATATAATATAAATATAATAAAGCTTTATAAATTTTGATATGTAATTAATACCAGAAGTAATTAAAACAAATTCAATTGAATGGGAGGGGAAATTAGTTATTACAGTAGACTATATAGTGTTGAATGAGTTCATGTATTAAAGTTTTGTGCCCTATACATTTCCACACCCTAGGAAAAAGCCCCTGTTGCTCACCCTAGTTACAGCTCTACCTCACTGATCCCTCTACCTGCCATGCCTTTTTTATACTCTGTGCATTTTACTCATTCTCTTCTCCTCCCTTCCCTGCCCTTCAGCTTCTAATCTCTTAACACTCTCTGTATTCAAATCCTTCCTAAAATTCACCAACCCGCCTTTTCTAGGAAGTCCCCCTGATCCCGCTTCATACCAATGCCTTCCCTCTGTGATTATTTCCAATTTATCTTGTTAAGTTCCTGTTCTTATCAGCATTATGAGATCATAGATTTAGAATTGGAAGGGAATTAGAGATCATTTAGTCCAATCTCTTCATTTTTACAGATGAAGAAACTGAGGCACAAAAAGGTTTAAGTGACTCACACAGGCAGTAAGTGATAGAGATTCACACTCCAGTCCTGTGCCTCCATGTTCATCCCTTTTCCCCTTGTCCCACCCCTCCCTCTAAGCTCTCAGGAGGTCAAACACCACTCATTCCCTTGGGCCAGTAACATGGGCCAATTAGATCCTGCCCTTCCCTCTCCCTACTCCATACCACACTCACCTGTGTGTCACCATTGACCTTGTCAGCATGAGGAAGGTAAGCAAGCAGGACAGGACCAGGGCAGAGACATAGCACACTGGAAAAAGAATGGGCCTGAGAGTCAGCAGCCAGAACCAAAAGGACAGTGACCTGAGTGACACCTCCCGAAGCCACTGAGCTAGGCTTTCTCTCTGGCACAAGTCCTTAGCAGGCACGGCTGCCATAGGCTTGGTGTCCCTTGTTTAGGGATGACCATTATCAGAAACACCATCAACTCTCAACTGCCAGTATATGGATCCAGTCTGTGGATTATACTAATGAAATGCCCGGCTTCCCCATCCTAGGACACTCTGCGTCGGTTGTCCATCGGCATATGCTCAAATAATGCCAATGCATTCTAGCGTCTGGCTAAGCCAAACAACTTAGAAAGATGTTGTAACAATCAAACAAACAAGCCTCCTCCCCCACCCCCCAGAAAACTGAACCTTACAGACATTTTTCAAATCTAAACCTATACAACTATTTGTCACTGCTCTCCCTACATAAAGATGGGCAGTCAAGTCTCTTATGCAGACAACACCTTTTAGAATATACATGATGCTTACACGTCTGTATCATTTATATGTCATATACATTTTGTCCTCCATTAATACAATGGATCATCTCAGTATTGAGGTGACCTTGGTTCTCAAATGCCCAGCCAACACCAAGTACAACCTGGAGCAGGTGCCTGTGACGCCAGAGGGACTTCAAGGATGGACTCTGGGGATAGGCCCACCCACCTAAATTTGGAGAAACTTCTCCTCCTCAGTGTGGTTGCAAGGTGAGGCATGACAACCCTTAAAGACCAGCAATTAAGTCAAAAGGGCCACCATCTGTATCAGCGGAAGGAATTTCCCTGCCTGGGAAGTCCAGGGTCTTGAAATGTTTCAGTCAATGTTTCTGAGAAAGAGAGGAAGGGACAGAGATGGGAAATGAGAGGAACAGAGAAAAAGAAACAGAGAATGGGAAGAAGGGGGACCCAGCGAAGGGATGGCTAAAGATGAAACACTATTTAATATTTTCAACAGGGGAGAATGCACATTTTTCAAGTTTGTTATTAATAAAAGCCATTTATTGAAGCCCCCATGCTTTAATTATAGGCAGAAAATGTTAGCTAAAAATGTACCTTATCTATATGTATCTAATCTGTTTACAGATTCACCTATATCTATCTGTCTATATATATCTATATTATCTATAAGTACCTAAATTTATATGTATATTTATCCTAGTTATCTATATCACCTATATCCATATATTTATATACATATGCTTGCATACACAAACACAGACTATATATTTGTGCTTAATAAATGAATATATACCCAAATATGTGTGCATGTCTGTGTGTGCACGCACACACATCTGGGTATATATCTATATATTAAGCACAATAAATATTTGTTACTATGTTACAAGGCAAGTCACTGTAGCATAGTGGATAGAGAAAGGTCTCGAAACCTTGAGAAAGACTTGGGTCATGACACATGACCTCTCAGTTCTCTTGGCAACTACCTACACGTTGCAAAGAAGATGTCAACCTTCATTATTACGGAAATCTCCTCACCCTGGCATTCGCTTTGTCAGTGAAAACATAGGTCCACTCCCCATTCTATACAAAGCATTTTTGTAGGTGCTACGGAGAACTCTAAGAGGAATAAGTCATAGTTTCTGCCCTTCAGAAGTTCAGTCTAGCATGGGAGAGAAAACTCACAAGAAATTATAATCAGCACTTCCAGGCCAGACATGCTAAATGTCAAATGATTGAGACAGACCATAAGTGTTTGTAAAGAAGGGCAGGTGTCCTCAGGGTTCCTTGAGGGCTGTCTGGAAGAACCTGGGTTTATAGACTGACTTTAACTCAAAGTTGCACGTCATTTGAACTGTCTTCTTTGGGGAAACTACTGAGGGGTAGCAGGTAAACAGGAATGTGTGGGTGGGGATGTCCAAAAGTTTTCCAGTCACTAAAAGGATTCCTAATTGGCTGAAAGTTGGCCTGGCATTATGAAATGCAAAAACAAACTATTTTTGAGCATCCGGAGTGACCAATCCCAAAGGAATGAAGAGTGTTCTGAAGAAGAGTCATTTTCATTTTGTGTCTCATGAGAAGAAGATATCTAAGTTAAGTCTAGAGAATCATGGGGATTGAAAGAGGGCTGAGGGCTCAGGGAATTTTTAGCTACCTGTTCAGAACAGGTTAGTACTATAGATTCAGGACAGGTCAGTACTATAGGATCATTCTTTTCCATGTACCTCTGATTGTCTTAGATTTCTAGATTATGTCTGAATTTATACGTCATTTCCTTTGTGAATAAACCTTGTGAATGAACTACTAGTGGTCTGGTCTGTTTGCAAAGGGGGGAAGAGAACACGGATGCTAGGAATGGATGCTGGAGCCAGGACGCCCAGGGGAATGGTGGCAGTGGAAGAAATGGGACGGATGACCAGCAATCTGAATACTGTTGGTCTTTGATCCCAAGGAGCCAACCTGGCTGAAACACCAAAGCCTCAGGGCTATGAGAGCTGAAAGGCTAGCAAGGTTTGCTTACAGCAGAGGAGACTCTCTTGGCAAATGGGTGGGGTTATACTGAGAGAGTTCTTGGAAGGAATCAAGTCCCTTGGGAATCTGAGCTCCTCACTAGACCCTTTGCTTGGGCCGGTTCTTCCCTTTCTCTCTTCTACAGAGGTGAGGAGAAGGAGAGGTTTCACTTTGGAGTGGGATAAACTGATCACAACTAACCAACCTTGACAATGGACCCAGAAGCAGTTTACCTAATGATTGTTCTTCCCTGCCTTGGACACTTGGTCTGTAGCAATGGTGTATCTCTAAAGGATGAGCCTGAGTGTAATCCCAAGCCCTGGCCCCATAGATTGATGCACCTGCTAGAAAACTGCGGATTAGCATTAATACCTGTCGTGTGCCAGCTCAGGAGAAAGGGCAGGAAACCAGAGAGGAGGATGAGAGAAAGGGAGAAGAGAAGAAGCGATGCAGCCTCTGGGAGGGGAAGGAGATTTTTGAGGGGGGCTGGGATTAATAGTGGAGAGAAAGAATCTTTACAACACAAGAAATTCACTCTATTCCTATCTGCATTAGTAAAAACACATCACTGGATACAAGGGAAGCCGTTAACTGCAGAGAACAGGGACAATAACCAATGGCTATGGGATCCTCCAGTTAGGCTATGGGAGGGTCTCTCCTCCTGTCCCAAGCCCCCACAAATCACGTGACTAAGATGAAATCCCATCTGCTCTGTTGTAGCACAAGCTGGCATCCCAGCGCACATGCCATCTGTGGTGTGGCACCATGAACTTGAGCACCTCCCCCCTCTTGTGGGGTTATCATTGAATGTTGGTCCCTAATACTTGGATCATAAGGCTTGTCTTCTTTTCTCCCCTACTGCCAGATAGGTGATGCCTGCCCTTAGGCATCCCTTCTCTGGAGAGTTCAGCTAGGTAGCTTGAGGCCAGTTCTGGAACAGAGTTACATCATCACTTACTCTAGAGGAGCACAATCCTTAACCCAAGACCAAAAGAGTCAGCTGTGAATACTGCACAATAAAGACATAAGGGGAGAGAGACCCAGGCCCTCCAACACTGGCAGCCATAGCTGTGTTCCTCCTTCTATATATATAATTGGTCCAGACATTTTTATCTACATCCAATGCCACTCATTCTCACCATAGCCAACTGCTTATCCAAGACATGTTAGCTTCGTTCCCACTTCCTGGTTCCTCTGAATACCCTAACAGAAGTGCTGGTGACGTCAGCATCCACTTGTGTCTTCTCTTTGCCATAGTTCTAGCTCTATGGGAGAATACCAGGGGAAATCTCCCTTGTCCTCTAAAAGATGCCATCTGTGCTACATCTAATGCCATGCCTGCCAAGCTCCATTCTCACTACCTTCCTAAAACCCAAGGGATTCAGGGTGAGGCAGGAGGCTGGACAAGTGGAAAGAGGCTAGGTGGGAAGGCCATTTAGGGGGGAAAAGCATAGGGAGGGAGGGATGAGTACTACAGAATCCCACATTGAGGAACAGGCTTTTCCTTGGTTGGCTCCAGGGCAAACAGCAGGTCCTGATCCCTTAGACACATGCTCCATTGGGTGAGTGAGTCAATGCCATTGGAAGGGGTGAGGGAGGGAGAGTAGGAGACCTTCCCCGGTGGTCTTTGAAAACTGAAGGGCCATTGTCCCCATGACGGTGCTGCATGCAAGCGCAGCCCCATCTTGAGACAAGAGAATGAATGAGATAATCCCTGATTCCCCTCTCAACCTTAAGCATCACATTTGGAATTTCCCAGTAACCTCACCTTCTAAAGCCCATAGGTAGTATTTCACCAGCTCTATCACTTCCAACTTGTCTTCTGAGAGGACCAGCCCAAAGCCAGCCAGCAGGTAGGTGACCTCTTCTGTGATTCCTGCTCTGGCCTTCTGGAGGATGGGGACAAAAGCCACCAGGAACAGCAGGGCCTCCTGGCAAGCAATGACAACATTATCTTGGTCTAGGATTTTGTATAGCAAGAGGCTCATGGGATGGTCAAAGCTCATTAATTCAAACCCCACTAGCATATGATCGGTGATCGTCTCTGGGCTAACCAGAAGTTGATCTCTATACTGTTAGCTAGAATTAAAAAAGGAGAATCTGCTGATCATTAACCATTGATAAATCAGAAGGTTTCCTCTGTTCATGAAAGTTGGTCCCCAAATACAGTATATCTTTCTACCAGAAAGCAATTTTTTATCCTCGGAGGAGATCACTGCAAGTATTTGAAAGCATTAACACCCGCCGACTGTTCACTTCTTCACGCTGGCCATCTGGACCTCAGAAAATCCAGATTAGAAGGCTCTGATTGTAAACTCTATTTAGGGAAAAGTGCCTGTCTGTTGTGGGGGTGAACTAGGTGCCGGGACGAATTGTTCTTTCTTTGTAGTAGATGTACACGAATTGTGATATGATTTTTGTGAGTCCTTTTTCCTCTCCTCCCCTGGGGTAAGGGGAGCAGAAGATAACTCCCTGCCAGTGATTAAGGAACAATTAGGAAGCTTCTGGTGAGGGAGGTGATGGTTCCTGTGCACTCTGCCCTGGTTAGACCATACCTAGAGTATGTTCAGTGCTGGGCACCATATTTTAGGATGAACATTAACGAGCTGGAGGGCAAACAGCATAATGAAAGGCCTTGAGACCATGCCATGGGGGCTCTATTGATGGAATAAGGGATGTTTAGACTGGAAAAGAGAAGTCTCAAGAGGCTTATGGTAACTTCCTAGTATTTTATAACTTTAAGGTTCATGTAGGTGATCTCATTTGCTCCTCACAATAACCCTGAGAGGTAGGAGCTATAATTATCCTCATTTTAGAGATGAGGAAACTGAGGCTGAGAAAGACTTTGTCTTGCCCAGAGGGTCTGAGATAGGATTTGGATTCAGATCTTTCTGACTCCAAGCCCAACATTCTATCTGCTGCATAGGTGTCTTCAAGTATTTGAAGGGCTGTCATGAGGGAAGGGAATTAAGTACCTACTATGTGCCAGGCAACATGTTAAGCACTTTACAAATATCATCTCACATGGCAGAAATTGGCTCTGTATGGCCCTAGAAGGCAGAACTGTGATCAAAGGGCAGATGCTACAAAAAGACAGATTTAAGCTAAACCTAACAAAAATAACAATCACAGGATCTGAGTGTTGAGAGGAAGCGCAGTGGCCCCCAAACTCTACAGGAGTCCCCACTTTAACATGCTCCACAAGTGGTTGTCCTGTTCCTGCTCAAACCCTACTCACCCCAAGCTGAATGCACTGTTTAAGATATAGTTGCTCTGCCCTCATTGTAGGTCATCACCCAAAGTCTGAAGGACCACTTCTCAGGGATGGTGTTCAGGAGTGGGGAACCTGCATTCTGTGAAGTTTGGATTCAAAGGGCCACACTTGAGGACCTAGAGGGCCACAGGTTCCCCACCCCTGGAGGCAGAATTTTTGGTCAGTTATGAGTTGGAGCCTAACTCTGAGATTCTGTGATTGTTTGAGTTTGAGTTTATGATGGCAAAACAGCTGAATGAACTCAGGTCATGGTGCCCAGGGGAATCAATCCTTGTTATTGATGTCGTAAAAATTTGTACTGACTGATCTCCATGCATGCTGCTTTCCACCTGGAGAAAATCTTCTCCTTAGGGAATGGGGGGTGGGGGTGACTCCTTGTAGAGTGATGAAATTGGATGGGGGTGGTGAGGACAAGGGGTCCAGATGAGAAGACAGTATAAAGGTGGGAGAGCAGGGGGTGTACCTGGTAAATTGTGATCGCTGCCAAGGTGGCTGAAAGGATGAGTTTCAGGGGAAGCCGGAAACCTGCAGACCCAAAGGGAAGGGCAGAGTGATCAGAACCTGCTTGGTATTCCCAGAGGTCTACCCATCCACTGATCACACAGGCTCAGCCTAGGGACCAAAGGTTGTGTCCATACACTCCTCTGGTCTCTCTAGTACCAGGGTCTAACCCTTGTATCAATCTGTCCATATTCTTTAGCCTAAGGAGAGGAAGTAAGTTGTCAAGGTCACATTGGTAGTAAATGGCAGACAAAGGATTTAAATCTAGATTCTCTGATACTTTATGTTAACCCTTAACCAGTCACCTTTCACCTGAAGTCCTGCTCCAATGTCTCACAGTGACATGGATGTGACCTTGGATTCTTAAAGGCCACATCAGTGAAGCATAAGGTCTGACCCATGCTCCCGAGCTGGAAAGGATTCTGTGTAAGACCTTCAGAGGGAGAGGAGCTTATTTCAAGACTGATCAGTCTCTAAAGGAGAAAGGTAGTAGCATTAGAACATCTCCTAGATCTTGAGACCTTCCTTCCATGAGCCCTCACTTTATAAACCCATCACCCTTCTGGTGAAGGCAGTGTTATTATTCTGCTCTGACTGGACAATTGAGGCTCAAAGTCAAGAACCACTGAGGAATCTTTACATCTTCCCTAGGCCTGCAATTCCTCTCCCCATTTACCTGCTGAAATCCTGCTCAGTGTTGAAAGCCCAACTCTTCCAGGAAGTCTTCCTTGATCACCCCTTCCTCCCCTCAACACACAAACACACTCATACAGTAAATGATTTTTCTGCACCTCCAGCCTAGGTCTATGTCTTATCTAAACTGTCTCTCTTAATCATCTCCCATGGATCTTTGCATACAGCAAACACTTCATAAATGTTTGTTGACTAAGTAAAAGAAGGAAAGAAACTAAGAATCTGGATGACCATTTAGTCCCCGTGCTGCCACCACCACCCCCCATTTAAATTGCCTGTGTTGACCTCCCTTCTGCATTAGCAACACTCAGATCAGATGGGGGGTGGGAGGAAGCTCCCCACGATTTGGAGGGGGCGGTTGGGAAGGGTTGGGGGAGCCATTAAGGAAGAATGGGTAATGCCCATGTCTAGCGTGGCAGCAGTTCATTCCCAGATGGCTTCTCTGAGAAAGCCAAAACAGATGGCTTCTTGAGGCTGGAAGCAGAGTGGGGGTGGGGAGGAAATCAGCCAGCAAGAGTCCTCCAGGTACCATCAGCTAACCCCCCACCCCAAACATGCAGTACCTCGCTGTGGAATGTAGATGTAAGGGAGGAAACAGCACAAGACCCGGGAGGCAAAGCTTGGATTGGTCACCGTGGAGCTGGAAATGAGAAACACAGACAAGGATGGCTTGGCACAAAATGCATTGAAAAAAAAAAGTCATTCTAGGGGACAGGCAGGCCACACTGCTGGTGATCAGTAGTACTGGTGGAGTGGTGACCACGTGCCAGGCTCTGCATTGGGCACTCAGGGAAGAGAGAGAAAAGAGGCTCAGTCCCTTCCTTCAGGGAGCTCTTGGTATGATGGGGGAGATACAGCCCTCTCTTCAGGCTCCCCCCAATCCATATACTCACCCCAAATTGAACGAAGTAGAAACGTCCTCGTTAGATCCTAGACCCTAAGTCACTCAGGACAGAAGCTCTGTCCCACCTCAGGCTAGCACAGCCCTCCGAGTCACCCCGTCTCCCAGCTCCTCCACTCTCACTTCTCGTGATCCCAGCTGAGATGATGGGATGATGGAAGGTATAGACACTCTACCTGCTTTTTGATCTCTTCCCACTGAGGATGTGCCTGAGATAGTCTCCATAATAGCTTTCCTCCATCACCTGCAGAGAGAGCAAGGGACATCACCTGCAATGGCTCACTGGATACAAAAAGGCTAAATGTCCTTATTAAGATGAGCTTTGAAATTTTCAAAAATCATGTCATTACTTCTTTTTTTTTTGGTGAGGCAATCAGGGTTAAGTGACTTGCCCAGGGTCACACAGCTAGTAAGGGTCAAGTATCTGAGGCTGGATTTGAACGTAGGTCCTCCTGACTCCGAGGCTGGAGCTCTATCCATTGCACCACCTAGCTGCCCCTCATGACTTCTTTACATTCTCTAGTAGGGCATCATGGAAAGAGAGCTTGATTCTTGGGTTCAAGACCAGGTTCATTTACTAGCTGCCCAGCCATAGTCAAGTCATTTGGCCTCAGTTTTCTTATAGAAGAGATGGGCCTAATAATTGTACTATCTCCCTCATAGAGTCATTGTGATGAAAAGGATTGGTAAACCATAGAGTGATATGTTTTCTTTTTTTCTTTTTCAGTCATTTCCAATTCTCCATGACCCCATTTGGGGTTTTCTTGGCAAAGATACTAGAGTGGTTTGCCATTTCCTTCTCCAGTTCATTTTACAGATAAACCGAGGCAGACAGGGTGAAGTGACTTGTCCAGGGTCACACAGCTAGTATCTGAGGCCAGGTTTGAACTCAGGAAGATGAGTCTTCCTGACTCCAAGCCTGGCACTCCATGCATTGCCAACTAGTGGCTCATAGAGCGGTATAGAACTTTATTGTTGTCCTCCAGAGAACAAAGGATTTAGAACTGGAAACAGCTTTAGCATTCGTCTATTCCCATCACATCCTTTTATGTATGTGGAAACTGAGGCCTCAGTCTCTTCCTTCAGAGAGCTCCCAGCGTGATGGAAAAACGTAGTTCCCTCTTTGGGACTCCCAAGTCTGATGGAATCGACCACTTTTTGCCGGGCCTTAGGTGGGGGTGACTTGGCAGAAACTCTGCCCCCACCCAACCTAGCATTGCCTCCTCTGCCTACAACCTTTCCATCTCCCTCTCTGCTTGCCAAACCTACCCTGGACCTCTCCTGACCCCAGCTGAGATCGCTGGTGATTTGAAGTGACTCGCACAAGGTCACAGAGGCAGAAAGTGACAGGGCCAGGATTTGAATCCAGAGCCTATGACTTCAAAGCCAGTACTTCCCACATCTTTTTTAGAACCAGGGGGTGACCTCGGGCCCTTCGTGACTGCATCAGCAAAGGCCAGGCTCTCACTGGGGATCCCTAGCTGGAAAGGCTTCTGGGACAGACCCTCAACAGACCTGCCATCTGAGGACCAGCTTCAGTAACGTAAGGTCAGGGTCATTCCCAGAACATTGGATACCAGCTGACAAACATTCTCCAGCCCCGACTTGGGACAGCTGTTACTAAGGGGGGAACAGGTGACCTACATCTGGGGAAAGGGACTGTGCTGGTGAGACCAGGGAACCTAGCATGTGTTGGGGAAGGACCTGGAGGCAATTCAGCTTAGTGGACAGAGTGCTGGTTGTGGAGTCAGGAAGACCTCAGTTCAAATTCTGCTTCCCATACCCATGTATGACCAGGAACAAATAACTGGATTTCTGTAAGCCTCAGTTTCTTCATCTGAAAATGGGGATAAAAACACCTACTTCTCGGGACTGCTGGGAAGATCGCTGTAGATAATGTCTGTGAACTTTTGCAGATCTTAAAGGGCTATATCCCAGTGTCAATTGTCATGATGCGAAAAGCAGTTTAGTGGTTAGAGGACCAGCCTTGGACTCAGGAAGACCTGAATTCAAAGCCTACTTTGGACAAAGAATAGCTATGGGAAAATGAGCGAGTCACTCAATCTCTCAGTGCCCTAGGTAAGCCTTTAAAACTACAAATTGGAGACAACTAGGTGGTGCAGTGGATGGAGCTCTGGCCCTGGAATCAGGAAGACCTGAGTTCAAATCCAGCCTCAGACACAGAACACTCACCAGCTGTGTGACCCTGGGCAAGTCACTTAACCCCATTGCCTAGCCAAAAAAATAAAGGTAAAACTATGAATTACAGGGAGGTTGCCTAACTTTATTAATAGAGGAATTTTTCTATTCAGGAAGTTGTGTACAGCAATGATATAATAGATCTGGACCCAAACAACCAAAGGTTACTTTTATCATTACCATAGGTATTTCAAAGAGTATTACCTATTATGGTAAAGGACACATTTGACCATATCACTCCTCCCCACCCCCCCCACCCCCAGGATCAAATATTTGTTTGGCTTTTAAAGCCCTTCATCACCGGTCCCTTTGTATCTGTCCACTCTTCTTACACCTTATTCCCCTTCTCAAGCTCTATGGATCCAGTGATGCTGTATTCTTGGCTGTTTCTTGAACAAGACACCTTATCTCCTGATTCAGAGTATTTTCACTGACTGGCCCCAATGCCTGGAGCTTTCTCCCTTCTCATCTCTACCTCCTGCCTTCCCTGACTTCCTTTGAGTCCCAGCTAAAATCCCACCTTCTCCAAAATGTCTTTCTCAGTCCTTCTCAATCTTTGTTCTTCCCCCTGGAGGTTGAGGTTCCCTCCAATTTATCCTATATATATCTAGTTTATAGATAGTTCTTTGCATATTGTCTCCCCCAACTCTGTGTGAGTTCCTTGGGGAGAGGAACTGTCTTTACTTTGCTTTGTATCCTCAGAACCTAGCAGTGTCTGGCACATAGTAGGTGCTTAATTGATTGTACTTGTTTGATTGATTGATTGATTTGGTTTCATTCATTCAGCAAGCTGGTGGGGGGAAAGTCAGTCCAGATTAGGAAATTGTTTTGAAAGCCCACCAGTCTTAAATCTTTTATTCCTTTCAAGTACAAAAAATAATTTGAATTCATGGCAAACAAGGTGTTTTCATGGCTAACAGATGTTGACCTCTAGATGTTACCTACTCCCTCCCCTGTCTTTATGCTGAGATTCTGCTCAAACTGGGTGACCTTTTTTTGTGAGTCCCTTTTATAAGAGACTCTATCTCAGGACAGGCCACCCCTGGCCAACAGCTACACATTCAACGGCGTCGGCTGCCAGATCTCTTCTTGGTAACTATCTATACCAAGTCCTGCCTGTCTCTGTTGTTCACCACCTCCTTCCTGCCATGAGTGTGAAGGCCGAGGCTGCTGGGATGAAAGTGAGTCAGCCTCCTGTGGGAGGCCACATCTAGGACTCAGTAGCTGGAGCAGAGAGTTAGGCAATGGGGTCATTCCGGGCCTCCTGCTCTTGGCCTGGAGCATCTCCACTGGGGCCAAGCGAGAACACCAGGCTAAGAGCATTTGGCAAAATCTCCTTCAGAACTTTTACTCTTGGAAAGTGCCTGGAGCCCGCAGGGTGGGTCCCCTCCTCGGTCTGGCCTGGCCCCTTTGCCCCCAAATCAGGAAACAAACACATGAGATTATACAGTTATGGTCATAACCCTAAATGCGCCCTTACCTCCCCTAAGCCCCTCATTCCCATAGTGCAGGGTCAGGTCCTGTAACACAGGCCTGAACGAGGGACTGAATCCTCTTGCACTAACTAAGGGGTTTATATGAGTGGGGATTTTCTTTGCCTTCTGGATCTGGAGGGGAAGTAAATGAAGAAAGAGAAGAGATAAGGAGTCCTCATATTCTCTCCAGAGCATAAAAAAAGAACTCCCAGAAGAAAGCCCCAAAGAGATAAGTAGGGGCTCCTCCCATCTCCATATGGTTCAGAAGCCTCGAGAAAGGACATGCCCAGGACACTCGGTCCCACCATTCTCCTCCAGTCACCTCCAGCCACCTCCAGCACCGTCTTAGAATCATCCTCTGCTCTCTTTGCTCCCTTACTCTCTTCCCTCACACCCCAACAGCATCCTGGTCCTTGTCTATTTTACCTCCTAGACGTCTCTTTTGTCCATCCCTTGCTCTCTGCTCTCAGCCACCCCCCAGTTCAGACCCTCATCATCTCAGACCTAGACTAACGCAATAGACTCCAAACTGGTCTGTGCTGTATGCAGTCTCTCCCCTCTCCAACACATCTTCCACAAAGACGCCTAGTTGATGGGCATAGGTCTGACCTTGTTATCCCCCCGTTCAAGAAGCTTCAATATCTCCCAACTGCCTCCAGAATAAAATAGAAATTCATCCATTTAGCATTTAAAGCCCTTCACTCTCTGGTTCCATCTATCTTTAATTACGTATTATTTCTCTATTACATTATGTATTATTTACGTATCACATATTATTATTAGGTAATTATTTCTCTTTACATATTATTTAATTATGTATTATTTCTCTTTATATAAATTCCTCAAGGACAGGGACCATTTCATTTTTGTTTTTTATCTCCAGCACCTAGTATAGTGTCTGGTGAACAGTATTGTCGTTCAGTTGTTTCTGAATGTTTCATTCAATCGTTTTTCAGTTGTATCTGACTCCTTGTGACCCCATTTGGGATTTTCTTGGCAGAGATTCTGGAGTGGTTTGCCATTTCCTCCTCCATCTCATTTTACAGATGAGGAAACTGAGGCAAACAGGGTTAAGTGACTTGCCCAGGGTCACACAGCTAGTAAGTATCTGAGGTCAGATTTGGACTCAGGAAGATGAGTCTTCCTGACTCCAGGCCTGGTGCTCTATGCACTATGCCACCTACCTAGTTGCCCCTGGAGAAGAGTAGCTACTTTAAAAATGTTTGTTAATTGACTGATTCACAAACTCCATAGTTGGACAAACTAGTCTTCTTGTTTTTCCCCGTAGACAACAATCCATGTCCTCCCTCCAAATCTTTGCACAGGCTGTGCCCTCTACCTGCCTAGACTGTTGTCTTGCCTCTCATCCACCTTTGAAACTCCTGGTTCCCTTCAAGGCTCAGCTCAAAACATCTGCTTCTTCGAGAAGCCTTTCCCGATTCCCCTCCCCACCTCCATGGTGGATGCAATCCTCACTGTCCCCAGGAAATTATCTTTTATTTCACCCATACTTTGTGTTTTTGTCTTTGTACAGGTTGTCTCTGAGTAGACGGTAGCTCCCTGAGGGCAG